TTTACATATTATAAATAGCTCCGCATCTCTCTATTGAGATCAGATTTTTGCCATCAAATGAGTTTGATGAAAACTATCCGTTTGCAGAGCCTTTTGGATTTTGGAATTGTGAATAAGGGATGGTGGCCTTTTATAAGAATTTATTTTTAGGAGACGTTTCTCTCTACTGAGACCCAACATAATGAGCCAGCTTGGGGCAGAAGCTGTCCAGGAATTCAGAACGAAAAGCTGATCTCTGTCTTAGGCAGCTCCAGCACGGAGCGGACTCAGAGCTATAGTGTGATGTGAATAAAATAAGGGAGAGGTGCCATCTTGCCTAGGGGCGAGAACTGAGCTGGGCACAGGAGGGTCAGTAGGAGTTTGCCAGACAGAAAGGCAACAGAGGGCCTGGACCATGGGCATCTGGCTGGGCGTGTTGATGGGGTCCTTCTCAGAAAAGTGTTTTTAAATGAATGAAATGAAATAGATGGGATGACCAAGAAAACCAATTATATGGAAATGCAGTTAAATTATTTTAATAGTGATATGTTAATATATGTGTTTCTTTATTAATGCATTGAATAGCCCAGCCTAGCACTGGGTCTAAGTGCGAGGGTAATTTTGAAGCAGCAATGAATATAAATGGTATTTCAAGAAATGTGCAGCGCTGTACTGTGATCTGAAAACAGTTGTGACGTCTGTTGGTGACACAGTTACCGGTACTGTTAATATACTGCGGTTTATTGCCTATGTTCAAAATGGAAGGGAATGGCTGAATTTCAGGGCTTAGAAAAGATGAATGATGTCACTTTTTCCCCTAACGTGTTCACAGACCACCGAATTCTGCCCCCAGATCTCAGGCAGGGTTAAGAACCCCAGGGCTAGCCAGAGAGAACTGCTTGGAAGTAGGCTCAGGCAGGACCATCTGGAGTGCATTTTAGGTGAGCTGGCATGATATTGGAGGAGGTGTGATGGGGAAAGGGCTGAAGAGTGAGTGTCTGGAGGAGATCACAGCCAGTCAGTCTCATTGGAGTTACTTGGTCATCGGAAGAAATTTTTTTGTAATGACATTTTTGTTTTTTAACGACTTTTTATTAAAGGAATATATGCTCATCGTAGAAAGGAAAGAAAATCATTCAGTGTCTTTTGGCCAAGGTAATTCTTTTAATATCCCTGTTAATCACAGTCCCAGTAGGCTGTGTGGTGCAGTTAAGCACTGACCCTGGAGTCAGGGGATGAGGGTTTGAATCCTGGCTCTGCCCTTTAACTTTTTCATCCTGTTTTCTCATCTGTAAAATAAAGGTGACTGTAATAGTAGCTGTCTCATCCAGTTGTTTCAAGAATTAAATAAGTCAGTTCTTACAAAGTGCTTAGAACAGGCCATAATTAGCACTCAAGAAAGGTGGGCTTTTATAACATCTTCTCATCATTCCTCAGTGCTTAACCGTTTTCTGTATTTGTTTAGTTGTAGCCTTCATATAGGTATACATATAATTTTATACCCTGTGTCTTACTCTTAATATTATTTCATAAATATTTTAATACTATTATAAACTGTTATAAGCATTTTAAATGCCTAAAATAATAGTCCATTTGAGTATATGACCTACACTTTAGATAACTATTCTCTTATGATTGCACATTGAGTTCATTTCCAATTTTCAATGTTGAGCAGGCTTCAGTGTGGTTCAACAGCTGTTTCTTGAGCATATGACTCTGAGTCGGGCCCTGTGCTAGGTGTGGAGGGTGCAGAGATAAATAAAACAAACTTTCGGTCCTGCAGGAGCACATGGAGCTCTGTTTTAGGATCATAATTTGCCTCACCATTTGGAGAACAGATTGGAAATGAGGACTCCTAGGAGGCAGGTAGTAAAGGGGCTGCCCTGAACAGTGACCGTGGGAGAGGCGGGGAGGGGGCAGCCGGGGAGAGCAGGTCAAGCTGTTTTTGGAGCCGGGCCCCGGATGGGTATAGTGAGTGAATAGATTCCCTGAGGAAAGGCAAGGAAGGATCAGGGGTGACTGTGGTTTGAGCTGGAGGCGCCGAGGGTGGTGATGGTGAAGTGGAGTGGTTAAGAGCTTGGACTGTGGTGCCAGATGGAACTCCAAATTCAAGCCCAGCTCTACTATCTATTACCTGTGTGTTCCTGAACAAGTTGTTTTCTGAGCCTCAGTTTCCCCATCTGTTAAGTGGGGATAATAGCAAATCTGTCTAGAAGTGTGAAGATCCCATCAGATCATGTATGAAAAGCATATAGCAAATGGGAAGCAGTGGACAGAGTCACAAGAGTCGTGTAGCGCATCAGGACAGTTTTAAGCACATCAGGACAGTTCTAAGCGCATCAGGACAGTTCTAAGCGCTCTCTACGAGTTGGCTCGCTCTGATTTCCACACCATCCCTACGGGAGAGGTGCTGTTAGCAGCTCGGGTCTGTGGATGAGGAAGCAGGCCCAGACAGTTTTGGTAACTTGCCTGCTGTCTCAGCTAGTAAGTCACAGAGCCACACCTCAACCCCAGAGGGCCTTGCGCCAGTGTGCGCGCCCTTAGTGACTGCGCCTGCGCCTGCGCCTGCGCCTTTCCGCCGGGATGGGTTGAGAGCGTGACGCAGGAAGGAAGTCTCTGCGGTGACATCCGGCAGGTGGTTGCGACTTGATTTTGTGACCCAGGACATAGGTCGGAGTGTAGGATCACGTGGGCAGAGGTGAGAGCAGAGGCCACGGGCAAAGGTGAGGCTGCCCGGGGAGAGGGAGGCACATGGTTAAACAATGAATTCAGCGGGTGACAGAAGGAAGATGGAGTCAGCAAAGAAAGTGAGAACGACTGATCGGAGCAACGGGCGAGAATCAGGATTGGATGGTGTTATGAAATTCAAAATAAACAATGCCATCAGCAGCATCAAATGCTGCAGAAGGGGGAGGGTGAGCTCCAGTAAGAGGTGACCGGTGACCTTGGGAGAGCAGATTTGGTAGGAGGAGATGAGGTCGGGACCTCGGCTGTAGGGGCTGAGCAGAGATGGGGAAAGTGGCTGCACAAAGTAGAACAGACACAGTAGGTGGCTGTGAAAATAGTGTCAGCTCCGGAGACGTGAATTCCAGTGCTGGCCCTGACTTTAATTAGGGGTGTGCTTTCAGGAGAGTCGCTTAACAACCCTCGGATGCTGCTTCCTTATTGGTGAATCAGGAACTAAGATCCTCTCCTGAGGCTGGTGTAGGAATCTGACAGCCGATGAATCTAGAGCGCCCAGCAGGCAGTAAGAGTTAAAAGCTGGCTGAGGTCACACGAGAGGACAGGCAACTAGCCTGATCTTTGAAGAACGTTCTTCAAAAGTAAAACCTGTTGAGGTTCCTCTGTCCCTGGGGTGGACTCTGACACAGGACATGAGTCCCCCGCAGGCACCCACCGCCTGCGGTGCCTTTCCGTCAGCTGAGCTCAGTAACATTGCAGGATCCCTGCCTGAGGTGCCGGTGGAGAGCAGACATTGCCAGGTGTGTGGTTATGTGGTAAATTGCTGGGCTGGGTCTTGATTCATATGGTAAATTGCTCTGCACCTCCTTAGGGTGAGCATTTGGCTGTGTGGGCCAGTGGCGGGGACTCTACTCCAGGAGAAGGCGCATCTTGCAGCTGCCATAGCGAGAAACCTTGGACCCCTTAGCCTCAGCCTACTGGCCTAGGAAATGGTTCTGCCTGACTCTTGATGTGAGTAGAAGGAAAATGCATCCAAGAGGCATGCTTTGAGTTCTGCAGAGAAGGGTGTCCTGTGGTGCATCTGGGAACCTCGGTGCATATTCCCAGGGGCGGCTCTTTGGTTCTGGCGCCATGGAGTGTGTCCTGAGGATCATCTCACGTTCTCTCTCTGACAGTTTCCTCCTTTTTCTCCCATTCCCTTCCTTTGTCAGTCTTCGCATTTTACAGTCTTAGATTCTCTCCTCCTCTTCTGACCTCATACATAGCCCATCCATCTACTCATTCATTCCATGAATACAAACTGGGCTCCAGGAGGCAGGGTGCTGGGCACTGAGGAAGCAAGAGGTGGGGATTTAGAGATAAAAAGGCTCATCTCCTGTCCTTCAGGGTTTTGAAATCTAGTGAGAGGAGGAAGACATGGAAACAACAGGCGGACTCGGGCATCTTTACAAGTGGCTTAGAACAGAGGGGCAAACCATGGGCTTCAGGAGCCCGGGGAGGATCAAGCCACCTATTGGAGCCCGGGATGGTGAAAAGAGATGGCCTTTGTGGTGCTCCTTGACAGGGGAGTGGTGTCCAGAGTAGAGGAGGGGAGGGCTCCTTCCCCACAGGGCAGCCCGCCACCACAGAGCATGCTGGCTGGTCAGGAAACCCCGTGGGCGTGCTCAGGAAGCAGGTAGTGGAGGCTGGCGGTGCGGCGTGAGGCCCCTCTCTGCCTCTGCCTGCCTGTCTCTGCCTCTCATTTTCTCTTTCTTCTCTCCTGCTCCCTTTCGCCCTAGCTGAGTCTGCTTTCTTCTCCCTGCCTGCATCACCCTTGCCACCCTTTGTCCCTCTGGACTCTGCCGTCCTTCCTCCCTAGACTCTTCTCTTTATATTTGTGGGGCTAACAGATGGCGCGCAGGGTTGCCACCCGCGAGCAGGGCCCACTGCCCCTGCAGCAGCAGTCCCTAGGCCCCCAACACCTGTACTGCAGGACAGGCTGAGATGGAATCTGCAGGTTGTTGCCAGGAGCCTCTGTCCTTCAGTGACAGCCCAGACAATTTATACACCCTGTTGGCTGTGGCCGTATGTTGTCATAATCTGGGTCATTTCCTCATTTAATGCTGCCTATAAACTCCAATAAAACTGTCTGGGAGCTGCAGAGTCCAGGGAGGAGAGGCCCTGGGTTTGGCAGGGTGGGAGAGGGACCGGGGATGGAGGCAGAGGGAAGGTGAGGGCCCAGGAGTGAGGATTACAGGACTGAGGCCGAGACCCAGGCAGGGGAGCCAGCCCACGCCGCCCCTGATGAGTGCCTTCTTTCCTCTCCTGCTCCCCACGCTCTGCCCTGCTGCCGGCTGCAGTGTGTCAGATCCTCCCCAAAGGGGTGGTTGCCGTCCTGGGACCATCTTCCAGCCCGGCCTCCAGCTCCATCATCAGCAACATCTGTGGGGAGAAGGAGGTGAGTGCTGAGCCTGGTCGGGGGACTCTCTGCCACCTGGCAGCCTGTGCCCGGGCCCAAAGATGTCCTGGGCTCCTAAGGGCTCGAGGAGCCCATGAAGGCCTGCTTGGTGTTAACTGATACCAAGTGGTCCTCCTTTAGGCACTTATTTTCTCCAGATTGTTCAGATGGTGGGGGTGGGAGGGCAGGGAGAGGTTTTACAACAAGATTTTCAAGCTGAGCTCCTCTGAGTCTGAGGATCCTGCAGGGGCCCCTTGGGGACAGTGGATGGAAGGACAGGCTGCAGAGGGTGGTGGTCCCAGGGAGACCAAAGGCCGGAAGTCGGAGCTCCACATGACTTGCTTTGTGGTTATCTCCTTAGCTGTGGGGATACTGGGAAAGAATGCCTTTGAGGGGAGGCATAGCTTACATTTCATTGTAATAAATAAAGTTTGAAAACCTCTGTTTCATAAGTTCCTTAGAAAAGAGGTTTTTACTTTGCTTTCTTCTTCAAATTCATTAATTCCATTGTTTACCTCCCCAATCAGTAAATTCTTCCTCGGGTATCGCCTCTCCCTGGGATCTCTCTAGCTTCAAAGTGTTGAGTCCATTTCCTCTAACGTTAGTGCCATGGGAGATGAAGCCAGTCGGCGGGGGTGGGTTGGGGTGTTCTGAGTCCCTAGTACGCCAACTCCCCCCTATTCTCCTACAGAAAGCCAGCTTGAAACTTCAGAGAGTCTGCTGTTGCCGGGACCTTCCCTAGTCCATCCTGGAATCAGTCAGTCCTTCCCCTCCAGAGATATCCCTGGGAGTCAGTGCATAGTGTCCCCTAGCCTCTCTCTGTCCCCAAGGGCCTTTGAGCTAAGTCCTCAGGAACAAATGGAGATTGGAGGCGGGGGTCCTGGAGTCAGGAGCTGGGGAGGGGCCCTGCAGAGGTTCACTCTCGCACCTGTCCTAGGGGCTGGAAGCTCAGCCTTCCAGAAACTTTATCCCTGGGAGATTATGGTTCTAGAAAAAGGACGGGACACCCACTGCTGGCCAGACACGTTCTCAGCAAACTGTCCCTGCAGAAGCAGCGGAGCAGCACCCAGGTTTCTGCCTACCCCATGTCCTCTGGAACCTGCCTCTTAGATGCCACCACTTCCTTATGATCAGAGGGCAGAATATTTATCTTCTCTATTTCATGAGCCCGTTCCCAGGATTGTCACCTGCACGCTGAAGTGACGTGCGATCCGAGCCCCAGTCCCGAGGAGGGCGGTGCTCCCAAGCACTGGGCTGCTGCCCTTTTAGGCGAGGCCCCCGCTCTTCTTGCCATGGGCCACCCCCATGCTGACCGCTCCCCATCCCCTGCCTCCTTTCAGATGTCCCGGAAGATGACTCGGGTCATCCCAGGCCAGAGACAGGAGCTTCTGTCCTTCTGCCGCCCCTTCCAGCATCTCCCAGCCTTGGTCACAGGAAGTCAGACTTGCTGTTTAATTTAAATCTTTCTTGCTGTTCTCCAAGGAGCAGCTCAGGTCTGTGGCCGGATGTCAGTCCTGCATTCGCTGTGATGACCTTCATCGTGTGAGGTCGCCAAGACCTTAGCTCCCCACTTTGACTTCTCTGCTCTCTCCTTTTCTGTTCCCTCTCTCCTTCCTCCCCGGCTCACTTTCTTCTCTGTCCCTTACCACCATCCCCCCACTCCAGAATGGCCTCCTCTTGGGGTTCAGGGGCCATTTGATCTCTGCTAATATATCCCGTAACCCTGTTTGGCATTTCAGGCCAGAGGCAGAGACCCTGATTTGCAACCATCTTCCCTGTCCTGCCACCCGGGTCCTGGCACCAGACAGGTTGTGCTGCCCAGGGACGGTCACCCCTCCTGGGCCTGATCATGTTCTCCCAGCTCAGCCTCTCTTCTCCTTTCAGATCATGTGTTGCTCTTCATATTTGATGAGGCTGAATGCCTCTCGCTGATTTCCCCTCTGCTCCAGGGAAAAGCCGTGCAGTTCTCGCCAAGGAGCTCGTACCTTTAAAGGCCGCCAGCATCTCCGTAGCTCCTGTGACTGGCTGCTTTCTGCCTCACTGCCCTCTGCCCGTTCTGCTCACCTCTCCTTCCCCCACACACCTCCGCCATGACCTCTTGCAGTCACAGATCGATTACCATCTTTGTCCAGGAGAGGGAAGCCGTCCCTGCCTGGGCCCATCAGAGCATCGGAGCAGCTGGCCGCTCCCCCAGCAGCCTTCAAGGTGGCAGGTGGTGCTGGACAGCCCCCCATGCCCCCACCACCAACCCCCTTCCCAGAGAGGCCTCTCAGTCCTGACCCTCTGCGTCTACAGCTCCAAGGGCTTTTATGGGGAGCTCCTAGATCCGGAGAGAAAGGGGGAAGGGATGGAGACCAGGCGCTGCCTGAACACTCACTACATGTGAGGCATGGAGCTACTACGTCCTCGCACACAGGATCTCATGTTACCCTCCTGAAGCTCCTGAAGCACCTATTCTATCCCCGTTCTCACGGAGCTTAGAGAGGCTCAGCAGTCTGCCCCGAATCTCACAGCAGAACCGGGGCGCACACCCAGGTCTGTAGACTCCAAAACCCATTCGTCCCGCCTTTTCCTGAGTCTTCTCCCTGATCCTCCTCTGGGTCTGTGGATTGAAGGGGTGTCTAAGGGTGCATTACACTGCGGGGTGAGTTAGCTACTAGTGGAACCCCGTAGGCAGGATGGCCTTGGTCAGGGGCGCCCGAGGGTGTAAGCCGGCCAGCCTGGCCACCGTGCCTCCACCCAGCTTCGGCCTGCATCCTGCCCCTTTGCGGCCTTTTCCCTTTTGGGGCACATTTGTTATGTATTCTAGACAGAATGTATGGGATGCAAAGCACAAGCTGGGAAGAAAACCCCTTTGTGACACAGCCCAGGCCAACTCACTCTAGAATCTTCTCCTAACTCAGCAGGCTCCCTCCAAGCCTGTGCTTTCCAGTCTCTGCTGGAAAACATTGTTCACCCTCGCCCTATGGTTCAAGGCTAATCCGAGCTGAATTCATGAATTTTCTCCCTAGTTTCTGCTAAATCTTCACCCTTGCCTCACTCTAGTCTCGCAGGTGCTCTGGTCTGTGGCTGACTTCTCCCAGAAACCCGAAAGGCTAAGGTAGCAGAATCCTACAGAGACCAGCTTAACACCATTCCAGGCTCTGGGTCAGCCCAGGTGAAGGAAACTTCTGCAGTCGTTTCTGAATAACCATTCCAGGAGCCCACCAGCTCACCCCCAGGAAGTTCTTTCTGCTGTCTTCTCTCAGTCTCACTTGCTTTAACATCAGTCCAAACCCCCTGCTCGCATAATTTGGCCCTCCTGGGGGGCACTGGTCCTAAAGGAGGCTGAGAGGTTTGAGGCCCATCTCTCATAGAGTCACCATGCAGCCCCCGGCTCTCCTGGCTCTGGGTACCAGGAAAGAGGGGAACAGAATAAAGTCAGGTGGATGGCAGCTTATTACATTTTATTTTCCTATTACCTACCCAATAACCTAAGCCTCCAAGAAAGTAGCCATCAGAGCCTGTTAATGTCCCTTCCCGGGAGAGGACCGGCAGAAGGCAGGGGCAGTGCCTCCTGGAAATGTCAGTAATAGACAAAGAGGGAAGCTGACACTGTCCTAATGACGTCGAAGCAGGTATTTATTTACCTGGCCCCGAGAGGATGCTCTGTAGATGGCTCCTTAGCCTGCGGCACTTCCTTCCCCGTACCTACGTCTGTGGAGCAGCCCATCCAGGCTTTCATCTAGGCCGTTGGTTGGGAGCTGGTTTTTATACCTGTTGACTAGGCTGAGCTGATAGGTCTCCTTTCTTAGTCCCTAGGGCAGTGTTTTTCTCCTTCTGCCATCTCTGCTCTGATTTATTAACTACAAATAAAATATGATAAGGATTATGCCTTGGAGAGCCATTTGTCCCGCTGCCCAGCAGCTGGCAGTTCCTCTGAGAATACAGACCTGTTCATTTGCCTTCCCAGGGCCACAGACCCTGGCTCTGAGGTGCACAGTATGTTTCACCAGGTCTCCTGCCAAAGGGTTCCCCATCCGGGCGTTCTCCTCTTAAGCATTAGCAGGGATGTCCTCCTCCTGCAGCGCAGGTGCCAAGGTCGTGCGTGCAAGAGCCCAGCCTCTGCAGCCTTCGCTCACTCATCGCTCCTTCCTTCTCGCTTGTTCTGGATCCTCCTTGCTGCCAGTTTTGCTCCCCCGCCCCCAGGTCCCTCATTTCAAAGTGGCCCCCGAGGAGTTTATCAAGTTCCAGTTCCAGAGGTTCACAACTCTGAACCTCCACCCCAGCAACACCGACATCAGCGTGGCTGTCGCTGGGATCCTGAACTTCTTCAACTGCACCACCGCCTGCCTCATCTGTGCCAAAGCAGAATGTAAGTTCCCCCAGGCCAGCTCTGCCCTGACGACAGACCCGGCTTGTTGATCTCAGCCTGGCTGATTGGCCCCTTGTCGGAGCTACGCCAGCAGGAAGGGGAGGGCTCCCTCAGATCGTGGGGACCGAAACAGGAGGGCCCGGCATTGCTGCATGTCCTTGGCTGTTTGCCCGTGTGTACAGGTGTGAGAGAGGGCGGCCCATGAGCATCCTCTGCCAGAACTCCCTAGGCATGGGTGGAACAGAGAGAACTGGGTTACAGGGAGACTGGAAAACGTCCAAGCTGTTTTGCATCTGGAACTCATTTCCCATATTTTCAGCCTCATTGTTAAGGAGCTACAAAAGGAAAATATAACATTGGATGCATTTGTACTTGATGGGCTGCAGGGCTTCTTCCCCGTAGAGAGCGGGTTTTGCTGAGGGAACAAGGTCCAAGGGCAATTCCCGATAAAGCGTTTTTTGCAAATGCAGGCTTTAGAAATGTAATCTCTGACTCTCAGACAATTTGTGACATAAATTTAGTGTTTATGAGATTTAGCTAATGTAAGTCAGGACTTTGCAGCAAATCTATGCATCTGTATGCTTCCAGTGGCAGCTGTGTACCCACATGCAGTCCAGCAGGTGCTGGCCACTGGCTGCCACTGGCGCCCAGGGCCCCATCGCCAGGCATCTGTGATCTGTGCAGGTCCTAGCTTGCGGGCCTGGGTGGGTTGCACTGTCAGATAATGCCATCTCCAGCGGGGATCCTTTCTGTGGCTTCTCAGAGCTGCTGTGCATGAAGTCCTTCCTCCACTCCGTAGGACTCCCTGCAGCATCTGTACATGAAAGGCCCCCCTGCCTGTCAGGGTCAGAGCCGCCTTCTTTACCTTCAGGCCTTTGCACCTGACTGCCACCACATGTGCATTCGTTCATTTATTCAACCCCAATTTATGATCTGCTCTGTACTACCCAAGAAACAAAGTGACTGGGTCCCACTTTGTGTGCTTTGTATACAGCTTATTTAATTGTCACAACCACCCAGGGGGTTTGGAGGTGCCAGAATTCCCCATTTTAAAGTTAAATAAAGTTTAAAATGCAGTTCTTCAGTCTCACAAATGCTGCACTTCAAGTACTTAGTGGCCACACGTGGACAGCACAGATACAGAGCATTCATGTCATCACAGAAAGTTCTATTGGACAGCACTGTTCTGGATGAAAAGTGTTTTGTGGACAGAGTTTTGTGGCCAAAAAAAAGAGACGTTTGGATAAACACTTCATTTTATTCCCCCTTGTGGAGAGTCGTAGCACACTTTAGCATGGACGGGCTAAGTTGTCCTGCAGCCAAAACAAGTATTTACCTCATCAGGTTCCAAATGGCTTTGACCGTAAGTCCCTAAAGGATGCTGAGTTAAAAGCCCACAGGACACGTATTCCTCCAGGTGGCCCCCTGCATGTGGCAACCTCAAACCACTGCATGGCGTAACAGAATCAATGATTCTCCCTTAAAATTCCTGCCGGAAGCCCAATCAGGCAGGACCAACCTGGTGTACCCATGCACACGGCGGGGCTGCTGAGAGACCAAGGACAGGCTGTAAGTATCTCCAGGCAGGGATTCTCTTGCGGCTTTCCTCAGTGCTGGGAACTTCTTACCAACCCGGCAGGAAGTTCTTTCTTGTGTCTGGCCACCGTCCCTCTTGCTCTTAGGCTGAGCCTGGTTTCCTGGGGAGGTAGTGGCTCAGCTGTTTGTTAAGCATCCACTGCGCGTGCTGAGCACTATGCTGGATTCTGTCGCCTACTAGCCCAGGGCTCTTTCCATTAGCATTATGACATTCCTTGACATTCAAACAGTTCCTTGCAGATTGCAAAGCACTTTCGCTTATGTTTTGCCACTTCACCTCCCTCCTCCCCAGTCATTCTAGAGCTGAGAAAACAGAGTCTGAGAGCTGTTAAGGGATTTGCTTAAGGTCACCCACTGGTACGTGGCGAAGCCGAGACCCTAACTCGGGTCCTCTGGCTCTGAGCCGAGGCTTCCTCCTCCACGAGCCCTCCCGCTCTCCGGGTCTGTGCAGACAGCCTCAGAGCAGCAGCTCAGGGTGGGCTGTGCCTGGCAGGGACAGTGTCCTTTGAAAGGCAGAGATCTCTGTGGAGCAGCGTGTCCCCGGGCTCCCCCCAGCAGTGTGTGAGATGGCTGAGCACAGACACGGTCCTGGAGAGGCGGAGCCTGCCCTGGTGCCAGAGGGGCCACCTACAGCCCAGGTGGGGCTCAGCGACCACACAGCGCCTCTGTTCGGAGAACTCATCCACTGCGTGAGTGAGTGACGCTGGCCACAGCCTACCAGGGCCTAGGGAAGGAAGGTGGGGCCGCACAGGAGAAGTTCAAGGGCAAAGAGGATTAAAACTCTAATCTCAGGATGAAGAAATGAGGGACTGAAGGGAAATGCAGCCCAGAGCTTGGGAAGAGACCTCTTCCATCGTCCTTATTAATGCAGGGCCAAGGGACACTCTTGAGTCGAATGAGGAACAGGAATCTAATTCTATTTTCCAGCCCTCAAAATTAGACATCACGGAGATCATTCCATGGGGAATCACACCACTCCCTCGCCTTCTTCACTAAAGTAGATTTTTAATAAGCAGTTTTTGGTCCAAGTAGAGTTGAATTGTGGATTACATTGTTTCTCTTTAATGGAAAAAGAAAAAATCAGGACATCGGCAAGTGCCTGGTTCTAATGATGCCAGGGGGAGGGGATGCGGTAAGGAGACCAGGCATGGCCATCCTGGCCATCCCATTGAGTATGGGGGACTGGGGTTCCCCACTGTGGCCTCTGAGGCCCCTTTGGTGAGACCACCCAGCCCTGCCATGGAGTTCCCCTTTCAGACCCTCAGAATGGACTCAGAGCCTTCCGTTCCTTGTTTCCACCAGTGTAATATGCTGCTTATTTTTCTGGTATCTTTGTACATAGCTCAGATCCTCTTTTTTTATGCTTGCACTGGGGTTTCTTTCTAAACACTTTAATGTCCTTCTAGTGGTCTGGTGTCCCGTAGTTCTACACCTTCTGCCACTGTTTACTGCCTGCGTGATCTTGGGGAAGTGGGATAGGCTCTCTTCCAGCCTCTCATTGTCTTATCTATGAAACGGGGATGATGAGGGGATTAAACATGGTGGCATACACAAAGAGGGGGACACAGTGCCCACACCTCGGGAGCACGCAGCACACCCAGGTGTTCCTTTTCCCTTCCCTTCCTTCCTTGGGTCCCTTTTGACCAAGGCCAGGGCCTGGAGTGGGGTGGCTGGAGGTCAGCTCCATCCTTGCACAATCTCTGCGTTTGCAAAACTGAAGGGAAATGCAGAGTGGGGCAGTGCAGGGAACCATCTCTGGAGTCAAACCAAGCAGCCCCACTGTTCATGGGCTGTGTGACGTTAAGCAGGCCACTTTACCTCTCTGAGCCTAAGTTCCCTCCCACGTGACACGGGGATAATGATGCCTCTCAAGGTAGTTGGGTGGAAGGTATCTGGGCCCACAGTGTGATACACATTTAATTACTGTTGCTTTACCCTGCAGCCCTGGTTGTGGCAGTAGGGGTTGGGGGACAGACTGGGTGGTAGGCGATGATGCCCAGGGCCCCTTGGGAGTGTCTGGGGCAGTCGTGGGCCTTCCCTGTGCCGCCCCTAGGAAGCATTTGCTGTGGGAGGCCTTTTGTTCTTTCTGATGTAAAATGAACCATTTAGTGAGCATTTACTATGTGCTGGACACTCTGCTCAAGGCTTTAAATAATCTCATTTAAAAAAACCTCATGATATCCATGTAAGATGGGCTCTATAACCATTCTTATTATATGCATGAAAAAAAGAGATTCGGTCCATTTTCAAGGGCACATGGTTCTTCTTGCCTCCTCTCCCTGCGTCTCTGCGCACTATGGGAGAGACAGAAGTGAGGGGCCATTCGGCCTCTGTAGTGGGACGACTGAGGCCTTCCCATGCCAGCTTGCATGAGGAGGCTTTCTGGACCTTGGCCTGTCCCAGTTCTCTAGCCTGGGGCCTGGCTCTTGCATCCCTCCTTCATCAGTGATCTGACTCCACCCAGGGCTGAGGAAGAACTCTCAGCCCGCTCCCCAGCATCTGTCTCTCCTCTGCCCTGTGGCCTGGCCCTTCCTGCCTGTTCTTGGGACCAAGCCCAGGAGTGGGATGGGACACAACTGAGAAGCAGGTGAAATACACCATTCAGGCATCTTCTTCTGTGCCTGATCCCTGCTGGCAGCACCTTGGCCCCTCCCTCCTCTCTTGTCAGTCAGAATCTGCTCTGCAGAAAAGGTCTGATGACCAGTACAGCCTGAGGCAGGGGCAGGGGAATGAGGCCTCACCAGGTTTAGGCACCGTGTACCAAAGTGGACTCGACTTCTTCCACTAAATCCTCACTCCAAACCTCTGATGTGGGTGTCACATCTGCTGCCTCCCACAAGTTTTAAAAGTGTCACCCCTCCTGGGAATATTAGCATTTTCCAGAACCAAAGCCTTCAGCCAAGGAAGTCAGCCGGTGAAGAGGGAAACACGCCAGTTGGAACAGCTGTTTATTCTTATTTTTTTGATACAAGGGTCCTCTGTGTCCCCTGCAGACCCATCACTTAGGTGCTTACGTCCTTGTCCTACGGCCCCTGTCCAACCCCGGCTATGCCTTTCACAGCATTTCCACCCTCCTCCGGCCTGCTTAGCCCCCTGCCTTCCAGTGCCAGCAGCCAGCAGCCAGCCTCCTCCCCAGAACAGTCAGCCTGCTGAGTCTCTCTTCCATCCATCCCGTTACATCCTGAGCGAGACTAATAGGTTCCCCAGGACCGTCTCAGCCTTGGACTCGGCAGGTCTGCCGCTGGGCCAAGGGCCCTGCAGGAGAGGAGGGCTGGGCCAGGGTGGAGGGGCAGCCAGGAAGAGAGCAGCTTTTAACCCCTCTGGTAGCAGCTGCCTTTGGTAAATCCCTTAGTTGCACTAAACAGACAGAGGTGAGGAGGGTGACAATTGGAGAATGCTGAACTGCCCTGAAAAACTAGCCTTCTTGATGTAACTAAACCACACTTTCTCCTCTGCAGTGACTGGAAGAAAAAGGATCCTTTTCCGATTTACAGAATTAGGGAATCCCTGGGCCGGAAAGGCATCAATATTTTTCTAGTCCAACTTTCTGTCCACTGGTTTAATTTTCTCTACAACAATTGTCAAGAGGGGCTTCAGTCTTTCCTTGATTCCCTCCAGGCACAGGGAGCTCTCTGCCCTGTGATGCAGCCCACTGCATCCTTAGTTTGAGCTGAGGTCTTGCCTTATGTTGAGCTGAGTCTGTCTCCCTGTGACTTGCATCCACTCTTCGCCCCTGAGTGTAGACCTAGAGGCAGCCAAGAGCAGGTCTGTCTCATGACAGTCCTCCCACCCTTCCTCAAGCCAGGCAACCCCTTCCGTCAGCTGCTCTTTGCGTGACAGGTGTCCGTTCCCCGCCTGGCTCTGCTGCAGTCTGGTCTGTTCGGATGTGGGGGCCCTTTCTTCCCCACAGTCTCTAGTTCAGCTCACCAGCAAGTGCTGTGCACCCCACCTTCCACTGGGGATGTGCAGAAAAGTTTGAAATGGGATCATCCAGCCCCTTGAAATGATTAGCCTATTTGTAAATATTGTAATATATATGCATATGTATATGCTATCAAATATTTGACATGGTTCATAACCAAAGGCTCTGTCTGTGGACTGGATAAGAAATCCTGCAGGAGTTGGGAGGAGACGGGGTGAAGGACAGTTAGGAAGTAAGTGGGTAGAGGAGGGGAATGAATGGAAACCAGGTTTGTGAAGCACCTTCTAGGTGACAGACACGGTTCTGTTTGCTTGGCATCCTCTAATCCTGTAAGGTAGTTATTGTCCTTATTTTACAGATAAGGACACTGAGGTGCAGAGAGGTGGAAGGGACTGGCCACCCTGATGACCTACCTGGCAGGGCTAGAGCTGGGACCATTTCCCACTTTGTGCTCATTTTGCTGCTGTAGGTGCGGTCCAGGCTGGAAGGAAGAGTGACCGAGAGGCAATCCTGGGTGGGGATGCAGGCCTCCCGAGGACCCTTCTCCCCTCCCTGGCCCCCGCCCTGCCTCTCAGCACACACACAGTGTGTTAGAGAAGATGCAGGCTCTGCTCCTTGTTTAAAGCGCAGCAAAGCACCCTGGGGGATATTGGGATAGGGCATGCTGGGTGTCAGTTGGGGCAGGGTGCCCAGTTTATCTGGCATCTGAAGGGCACTTTTCCCTGGGAGCTCAGTGCACCTGCCAATGTTAAAGGGGTGAGAGGTCCTGGGCTGCCTTGGCCTGGCATCTCCATGCTGTGCCTCAGTGCCCCTGTAGATGGAGGCCGGTGGCAGTGGGCTGTGAGGGGCACCGAAGGTGGTAGATCTTTCCAAGTCTCTGTCAAGGCCCTGTTGGGGAAGGAAGGAAAGACAATCGGAGGCTGTGGCTTGCACAGCTGGCCGTTTCTGAGGCCTCACTGTGAATAACAAGCCCCCCCAGGCCTCCGTCCCTGCCGCAGCCTCCAGCTCCCCGGACCGCCTTCTCAGGACCCATGGTGGAGGATAGGGGTTGGCACCGCTTTCCCACAGTTTCCTTCTGCACCATGCCAGGCCCTTGGCCTCCACCTGCTGTCATGTCCTTGTTTGAATAAAGACACTGTTAAGTGTAGGCTTCCCTCCCTGAGGCCGGAGACACGTGTCCCTCGGCCTCCCTGGGTCCTGTGCCTGCTGCCCCTGCTAGGTTTTGCCCTAAGAAGCAGCCTGTTCTCAAGGAAGAAGGTTGGATGGAGATGAGAAATGGGAATTCTGGTCTCAGGTGTGTCCCTGTGTGACCGGGCAAGTCCTGACACTGCTACAAAACCAGGGGGGTGGATGCCGTGCTCTTCAGGCACCGCCCTCTCTCACATTTTAATCCTCGGGTCAGGAGGGTGAGTCACCTGCACAGAGACGAGTCTTTGGAGTCATTTTCAGGGCATCCCTGTAGCTAGTACAGGACCCGGAGCACAGGGTCCTCTGACCGGGTGGAAGCTGCTCCTTCCTTGTCTGGCCACGGCGTGTGGAGCCATGTTCGTGCTCATCCTCCTGCCTTGTCTTCTCTTCTGCACCGGGTTGTAGGCCTGCTGTCAGGACTTGAAGGAGAAGGCCCTGTAAAATGTTCAGCCCATGGCCTGCAACACAATAAGGATTCACTAAATGTTACTCCTGTTGCTTTGGGGAACAAATGCCTGTTAGGTCTCCTTGCATTAGAATCGAGACCGCTGTCTTCCCAGGAAATGCCCACCCACCCACCAGCCCCCACCATAGCCTCTTCCTGGCCTTTTCAGAGACAGAGCAGAATCAAGACGCTGTGGCTGAGGAGTGTCATTCTCGGGCCCCTCCTCCCACCTCCCCCCGTGGGAGCACATAGCTGGGAAGGAGAGAGAGTCCTTAGCTCACAATCCCTCTTTCGGTTTTGTTCTGGGCCCACATTACTGCCTGCGGGAGTGTAGTTCAAAGTCTGTTCTTTTATAATCATAATACCTTCTCTTAATACAGCTTCTAGGCTCTGAGTTCAAACGGTTTTGCTAGGTCTTGTGATCTTGAGGGAGCCGCTACTCCCCTCTCCAGGATGGAGACAAAGGCTATGGTGGAGTAGATGCTACATGTGGGGTGTTCACCACGTGCTGACTCGGCCTGAGCACGTCCCCCGCTTCCTGGGTTTAACCCTCGCTGCAGCTGCTCTTATGCTCATTTCTGAGATGAAGAAACTGAGGCCCAAAGACTGGCCATGTGAAGGGGCCACCCAGTGAGGAAGTAGCCAAGTTAGGGGAAGGAGCCCTGGCCTGCTGGCCTCGGAACCCAGCCAGGTCTTGGCTGCTGGGCATTGCTGCTCCCAAGGGCAATGGGGAGGGGTGAGGAGGCTCGTATCCGACTCAGCAGAGCCTGAGCCCCAACAAGGCAGTCCAGGAGGCCATGGAGCTCAGGAGCATCCTTTTTATTTTCAATGGGATGACTGAAGCCCTCAGAGGTTAAGAAACTTGCTCAGGTTAAGATGTGGCTGCTTAGCACCAGCCATGGGGCCACCCGGGACCCTGCCTCTGGCCCTGGTCTTTGCTTGTTGGGCTGCACCCCAGAGTTGCCCAGGGAGCCCTGTGGACCCTCAGGGGCATCATCCTCTCTTCCCCTGCAGGCCTTTTAAACCTAGAGAAGCTGCTCCGGCAGTTCCTCATCTCCAAGGACACACTGTCAGTCCGGATGCTGGACGACACCCGGGACCCCACCCCACTCCTCAAGGAGATCCGCGACGACAAGACGGCCACCATCATCATCCACGCCAACGCCTCCATGTCCCACACCATACTGCTGAAGGTGGGAGCCAGGCTGGGGTGCCGCTGGGCACAGAGCCTCCTTCTCCCCGAGTTCCCCCGCTTTGGGTGTCCTCCTGAGCCGTGGCTAAAGGAGCTCCAGCTGGACCCCTGAACCCTGGCAGACCTCTGGGAGCTTCAGTTTCTGTAGGCCACTCCTGAGAGCTGAAAGGGGGAAGCAGGATGGTGATGTGAAAACGTTTAACTCCTGGTACAGCAGGGCAGCCACCAACTGAGATGCTGGCCAGACCCAGACCCTGCCAAGGGCTATGTGCCTGAGGTCCATGGTTTCCTGGAGGGGTTAGGCTGGTGGGGTGGGGGTCTCAGGGGCTTGGGGCAGAGACTGTTTCCCAGGTGGTACAGAAGTATTTGCATATTTTAACAACCAGGACAGCCACGTGAGTGCATTGCTGGATAGCAGCCCCGGATGTAATCCTTACACACTGTACCCCTTTACAGAAGGCTGCCCTGTGACCTCCCAGTGTAATCCTCTCAGTGACCACTGGGGGTGGTGTAATGCCTTCACTCAACTGATGAAGTAACGGAGACTCGGCGACTAATTGCTTTGTCCAAGGCCCAGCCCTGTGAGGAGCAGAGCTGAGCCAGCACCGTGGCTCTGACAGCGAATCAGCGGTTCCTTCTGCCCCTGTAACACAAGGGGCAGGGCGCCAGCTCCTGCGTGACTTATATGCAGGGATATGTACGGAATGCTGAGAGTGAGGCCCATATGAGAGAGACAGAAAGACAAAGACAGAAATGGAGAAGGGGATTCAGGTGCGTGGGGGTCCATGCTGGACGAACAGCTGGCAACAGCTGGGCAGCCCTGCCACCTAGCCGAAGTCCTCGGGCTGGCGGCTGGGCTAGGCATGCAACCCCAGGTAGAGCGGACAGGCTCCTCTCTGGCTTCCTGCGGCTGCCCCAACCTCTCCGGGTGCAGAGGCCTCTTCCAAATGCCATTTTAATTGCACATTTAAGTGCAACCTGCCATCTTCCGCTGGGGGAGCAAGGCTCCTTGTTAACCTCTGCCAAGCTGTGAGGAGCCGGCAGACACTCAGATGATTCTCTCCCCCTCCCTCTCTGCTAACCTCCCCTCCCCAGCTCGTTTGGTCTCAAAGTTAATAAGGGATTTGAACGAGTTCTCTGAGTACCTAGGGCTTTCCCTTCAGCCTATTGCTGTAGTAATTTTCCACAGCTCCAAACCCACATCTGTGTGTGTGCATATACCCCACTCACACACACACACACACAGAATTTTTCTCTTCTATTCCTTTTCTCTTTCTCCTCTTATGTCTGGAGCTATGATGAATGCAGTCATCAAGGAGGGAAAAGATCCTCTAAGTTTCAGGGCACAAGAGTTAGAGGCTGAGAAGTCCTCAGGGAAGATGGGCAGTAGGGAGTGAAACAATTTCCCCCTAGTCCCTGTGCAGAGGGCAGGTCAGAATGCACATTCCCCTTGCAGTAATTGGAACCTGTCCGAACAGCCCCCAGGAGGAAGCCTTTTGGGTATAGCACCTGCCCAGGAGTATTTCATAGCTTCCAGCCTATGTAGTTGGACTCTGTCTTTTTAAAAATAACGTCTATTCCACTGTTGAAATTTTGGAAAGTGCAGAAAAATCCATAGAAAGAAATACAAAAGCCATTTACACAATTCCATCACCCAGATATAAGCACTATTGAAGTTTGATGTCTATTCTTCTGCCTTTACAGGCACATTTTTTTTCTTTTCAAAATTATTATCATGCTACACCTACTCTTCTGCCTTTTTCACTTAATTATATGCCTTGCTTTTTTCCATGTCATTAAATATTTTTCTACATATATTTTAATGGCTGCATCGTATCCCTTCATATGGATGTGCCACAGTTTATTTACCCATCCCTGTTTTTGTCAGAGATACAGGTTGTTCTCAGTCTTTTGTTACAATAAATAATACTGGGATGCACATCTCTACATAAATCTTTATGCACATTCCAGAATAGATTCTCAGCATAAATTCATACAAGTAGAATTACTGAGTTAAACGTATGCATGCTTTTGAGGATTTTGATACGATCTGCCAGATTGCCTGTTTAAAAGTTTATAACAATTTATACTCCCACCAGAAGCATATAGGTATCTTATAGTACCCTTGCCAATACTGGGAATTTTCATTGGAAATGCCTTTTTTTTTTTTAAATGGCTGTGATTTGGAAGGAAACTCTACCTGTAATGATGATTATTAGCAAATCATCCTGCTGGGTGGCCAGTGGCCGGCTTTCCTGAGACCACCTGCTGGCCTCAGCCCTGGGACCTCCAAACCAAACCCATCAATGACAAGTGAAGCTTCAGGAAACCCTGTTCCCTTTGTTCCCGTTTGACTTCCTCATGGCCCCAGGCACCAGGTCCTGCATTGGGACCTGGACTCGGTCCTGCCGTTTCTATGGGACTCCAGGCTTCTCCTTCACCTGGTTGCAGCAGGCCCTTCCGGGCAGGGGGGTGGGGGAGGCCTGTGGGATGACGGACTCAGTGTGAGAAGCAGTGTGAACTGAGAACTCAGGGAGCTTCTTGGAGACCGGGTGTGCGACTGAGCCTGGGCCCCCAGCTTAGCAGCACTCCGCTGTTGATTTCAGGAGGATTTGCGGAGTAATCCCCTGCTTTATTGAGCAGCTGTTTCGGCACCAAACTCCATGTTTACCCAGAATTCAGGTCTTAAAAACCAAGGGTCTCTTGTCTTTTATCTTTGGGACAGCAGACTTCACAATATGGGCTTTAGCCATATGGCAGCGCCCTCTCCCAACCCCTTGCTGTACCCAGGCAGTGGTGAGCGGCAGTGGCATTGCTCCCTGGACAGCACTGGGTGGGGACATGGGCTGGGGGACATCATGCCATGACATCCTCTTGGAAGGGGAGGAGAAAGAGGAAATGCAGCTTTTCTTGGAGGAACAAATCAGGAGCCTCCAGAGAGGCCTTGATCTCCACGGTGACCCCCGAGTAATCCTACAGTTGCTAAGCCCTTTTGCTCTCAGTTTCCCATTAGAAGGGTGGTGCTACAATTGCCCAGCCTGGTCCTCAAGGAGCCTGTGAGGGTTCCTATGCAAATGCTCACAAGGTTGTTGGGGTTCCCTGGGAGATAAACACTGTGTAAGAGGAACATGTCACCAAGCCTCTGTACACCACAATAATGTCCCCTGTACACCTCAGTAGTGGTGACAAAAACAGCTTCCTGGTGACCTGGGGCTGTGGGATACATTATGAAAATCTGACTGCCAGGAGGGATGAGGGCCCTGGGGAGAGTGGGCTCATTACATAGCTCATCCACCTGTCAGTTTCTGCAGCCACCTGTCACGGTCAAAGCAGGGCCCACTGATGGAGCAGGTCAGTTTGGGGTATTTATGATGGCTACAAAGATCAGACAAAAGGGACAACAGATGAAACTGGTCTGAGTAGCAGTTCTCAGCTATGGGATGACACTCTACTGTGCTGTGATCAAGGGTGGGGTCTGTCACCAGCAACTTGTCCCTGACTGCTAACAGAGGACCAAGGTTTGCAAATGGTCCACTTGTGTCTTACATCGCTGCAGATGCAAGGGTGCTCTTATGAGCCCCACTCACTCACATCCTGACGGGTAGAATTCATCTGGGAATTGCCTCCAGCCCACAGACTCCCGTGTCTATGCCTCGGCCCCTGAGAGAGTTGTCAGGACCTCCATCAGCCTCACAGGCCTCCGGGGGGTGGGGGTGGGAGGTATAGTTTGGTGAAAAGCATTGAAATGAGGCCAGCTGGCTTCAATTTCATCTTTTCCGTGTATGAGAAGTGTGATCCTGTACAAGTCACACAGCGTTTTGGTGTGATTTCCACTTCCTTAGCTGTCAGATAGCGGGTGGAAGAGGAATGATCGTGCCTCCCTCATCGACTTAACTCAAGTGAAATGCTTTCTGGTCCTTGGCCCGTACTAAACAGTGGGAGCATGTTAGCCATTGTCATTGTTAATAGTTTTGGCGGTAATTATTCTAGTCTGTTTTATTATATGCTTCATTTCCCTTGAAGTCATTTTGGTCTCTATAATATCTGGTTATATCCATGGGAATGTGTTGTGCATGGAATCATCAGCTACTTCGAATGTCCCTGCAGGGGACGAGCAGGGTGGCGGTGGAGAGACCCTACGCGAGAGGCTAGTGTTTCTCTTCTCCATCCTCTGAGATCAAGGGCAACGTAAGAACCGATCAAGATGTTTCACTCCACCTGGCAGAAGGGTAGTGGGCCAGGCAGATGGCGGATGCGTGGGGCCCTCGCTGCTCAGTGACCTCCAATGGGCTTCTGTTTCCTCTCTAATCTCCTTCTCTTCTCTTTGCAGGCAGCTGAACTAGGGATGGTGTCAGCCTATTACACATACATCTTCACTAATCTGGTAAGACATTTTCACAGTTCACCCCCTTGGCATAGAGCATGTTGTTAATTAGGGTCGGTGGGGTGCGACTGAATGAAGCCCAGGAGATGGGGAGTAGGGAAAATAGAAGCAGAGGAGCAGAAGCCAACCAGAGAGGCCCCTGGGGTTCTTGTCCCAACATTTCTTAGTCTCGGGAGAGTAGAAATCTGGGGAGTCTAATGTCTCTGTTTGAACACCACCAGCTGCACAGCACCGATGCCTCCTTTGTAGGTCCAGTTACCGGCCTGCGGTCCAGTCCCTGCCCTGGCAGACCCCTGTGCTAGCTCAGAAATAGGACGGCCGGGATACCAAGCATGCATGTCTGTGGCGTCATACGGGGACGCATCATCACGGCCATTTCATCTCGCAGATGGGAAAACGTGTCTGTAGAAACTGTACTGAGTCAGGTTAGAGCAGTAGCTTTGCCACGTGCCAGCTGTGTGCCCTTCAACAAGCCCTGAGCCTTGGTTTCCCCATCTGTAAAATAGGGATAAGAACAGATAGGTCACGGAGTTGCAGTGATTGTGAAAGGAGGTAATTTAATCTGTGTGGAAGCATTTTGAAATTGTAAAACATGAAGAAACGTGAAAGGGTGTTGTGAATCATAGACACACTCAATTAGAGAGTAGAAAGAAAGAACCTTGGATAACAGATTTTTAAAAAATTTTATAACTCTTTATTTGGAAATAAAGAGTCACAGGAAGTCGTAAAGATAATACAGGGAGTCCCATGTACCTTTAACCCAGTTTCTTCTGGTCGTTACATCTTACATTAATTATATTAAAACATCAAAACCCCAACATCAAAATGTCAAATCTATCAAAACATGGGTAGATGTGTGTAATTCCCCTTGTCATCAACATACAAAACTACTTCCTCGGCGTGAAGACCTCCCTCGTGCCACCGGAGTCCCACTGACGCCCTCCTCCCCAGTCCTGAACCCCTGCAACCTCTAATCTGTTCTCTGTTTCTACAATTGGTAATTTTGGAAACTGTTACAAAAGTGGAATCATACAGTGTCTGACCTTTGGAGGCTAACTTTTTTCAGGTGGCGTAATGCCCTTGAGTTGTTAGGTGGATCGATGCTCTCCTTGTATGGCTGAGTCCTGTTTCTTGGAGTAGGTACAGCCCAGCTTGCTTAACCATCCGCCTGTTGAGAGACATTGGAGTTGTTTCCAGGTACTGGTGATTACAAATGGAGCCGTTAAACACAATTATTCAGAGAAGAGGTTTATTTTATGTTATGAGTGCAAGAGCTGTCAAAATCCCTTAACCAGGTGGCCCCTTCATCCAGATGGGCTTCTGAGCACTTCTTACAGAACAGGGATTCGGCCGGGCATTAGGGATTAAAATGGCAATAAGAAACTAAGCCTGCCTGGGAGAAACTCATAGTGCCTATTGCAATGCCAAGTGGTAGATCCGATGAGATGTGTACGCAAAGTCCTCTAGACTGTCTTGGGGACACTTGCTCAACCTGGGGCAGGCAGGAAGTACTTCACAAGGAAGGGGGCCTTTAGGCTCTTTCCTGAAAGATGGGTGAGGTTTTTCTATACTAATAGAGAGAGGAAGAGTATTCCAGGATAGCAACGTAGGAAGTGCATACACAGCGTGTCCAGGAAACAGCGAGTCACTTCAGACTTACGGATGGCTCTGTAAGTTATGGGATGGACATGGCAGTTAATTATTACTCACTTATCTATGTATAGCCATTCTTGAAAGTAACCTATTTAGAGGATATAAGGCAGATGTCAATTAATTTTAAGATCCTTGATAAGTTGGAGAGTAGAATTCAGCCTCAGAGGTTTGATGCTTAAATTTTAAAATGAAAACGGCTACCTAGGAGATAAAACTTTCTTGGTCAACCTGTGTGATAGGGCGACCTTGGGGATGGCGCAGTGACCCTCCCCGGATGCAAGCACCAGGCCTCCTGAGATGTCCTGCGAGGTTGAGGAGATGTTGCCCGGTGACAGGCTCAGACTCTGTGGTCCTAGTTCTTCTCCAGCTACAGGATTCTAAACATTGCTGTATAAGGCTGTTCGGCAGGTATGCACTTTAAACAGCCCTTTCTTGGGGCCACCGTGGAATTGTTAACCTTGAGGCGTCCTGCAGGCCTTGGCTGTCAGCACTGAGATATCTTAGAGGAATCCTGGGTCACTTCTTTTCTGGTATAGGGACTCCCTATACCAGACTTGCCAGAGACTCATTCAGCTACTGTCCGGCTTGCTACCACCACAGAACTAACTGCCTGTTCAACCGTTGGCATTTTTTCACTGAAGTCTGGCATACATACAGAAGTCCACACAAATCATACGTGCACACCTGTGTAAGCAGCACAGCTCCAGCGAGAGCGCATTACCAGCATCCCAAAGCCCCCCTCCTGCCTCCTCCCAGTCACTACCCCTCAAATGGAAAACAGAAGGAACTTCTTTGCTTCTTTATTTTTCCTACTAACACTGCTGCTATAAATCAGAGCATTAACATGTAAAAAGGGAGGAAAAGATTGCTATTCCCAGAGCGATGCAAAAGCGTTTGCTTAAAGGAAAGAGGCATCTGGGGGATCCCGGGCAAGATGGCGGCAGAGTAAAGAGAGATTCAAGTGCAATCATGTTCCATTTTGGGAGCCTGGGAAGTACAGGGGTGAGGGGGAGAGGGAAAAGGCAGGCCAGGGGCTGCCTGCCTGGTGACAGCCTGCAGGAGGCACTCCCCCCATTGGGCAGCCACGTCAGCAGACGAGGAAGAAGCAGAGCAACAAGGAGCCCCGGGGGCGATTTAGCAGATGGAAGGAGGCCAGCCGTGTGGAAGGTGAGTTCCCCGGATGCTAACTAGACTAAGGCAGAGTTGCTCGCCTTGCAGATGTTTAAGAAAGCATCAGCCACACTGCGTACCACTGCCCCCTCTTGTCGGGAACGATAATAATCATTGTGGCGATTAATCTGGTGGAAAAAGGACTGGCCTGTGAAGTCAGGAGACCTGAGTCGAGTCCCCACTCTGCCTTATACTCACTGTGTGGCTTTGGGGAAGTCACATGGACTCTCTGAGCCCCGGTTTTCTCATTTGTAGAATGGGGATAATAAGATCTTATAGAGTTATTGGGAGGATAAGTAAAAACGTCTTATAAATTGCAAGTCCTATATGTTTCCGAGCATTGCATTTTTTTAACAGCATTGTGATACTTTCAGTTTTCAAAGGGCTCTGTCCTCAGGGAGCATGGAAAGAGGTGAGTTCTGGGAGCGGGCCTTACTCAGTTCTTTGAACCTGGAATTAACAGGACTCACACAGTTTTAAGTTTGCAAGGAGAAACCAAAAAAGCAACTGTGTGAATGATGGTGGCTGAATAATAGTCAAGAAAACAAAAGCAGAGCCATTGCAAAAATCTGTGAGAGAATATTCTGGAAGCCTCTCATTAGTGCTTTGGCTTTCTGAAAGGGATAGGCCTCTACCAGGAGTAAAGACACTATTTTTAAATCCATTCTTCCTGTCCAGTTGCCCTTGGAGTCTTGGGACAGAGAAAGAGTTTTGTACCCATGGTGATGAGTTACACTCTGTACTTTTTCTGTCCCTTCCTCCCAAACACAGATGCTACCCAGACTAATATTTATTCCTTCTCTGGATTCCTCAGGGACCCCTGTGGTGTCCCATTCCTCTGAGTTCTGCCACAGTGATGCAATGGGTGTCAGATTGGCTTTTCAAAAGCCAGCACCATGAGCTGAAAGGACAGGGACCATGGCATTCGGTGCACATGATTTAGACATGACTTAGCTACTGGCTGTGTGACCTTGTGCAAGTTTCTTAATCTCTCTGAGCCTCAGTGATCTCAGCTGTAAGTGGACATTAGTTAATACCTGCCTCAGGAGATGATATCCACACAGCATTTGGCTCACAATATGAGCTTTTTTATGTAAAAGTGAAGGTACTATTTTAAGAAGTCCTATTTATGCTTCCCATGTGCTAGAGAATAGGAGATAATTATTTTGCTGTCCAGCCTCTAATGGCCTATAAAAGTGACTCCTAAAATGCTGTTTCATTTATTTTAAGAGACTGAAGAGAGCTAGGCAGTTCAGTTATTGCGTGTGATGGAACTGAACATTGTAGGGTTTCTTTGTGTCAGTAATTACTATGTAATTGATCAAGTCCCCACACTTCAGTCCCATCCAGGCATTAAGAAGGTTAAATGATTTAGAGCATCTGTAATAAATGAATTAGATAGACTTCTCTGGATCGATCAGTTGATTACCCACCTTGAGAATTGGGGCAAAAATATCCATCATGAGTTAAATTTCTAAACCATCGATTCACTTGGCCCTGTGGAAACAGAGTTCCTTTCTCTGTCAGGGATTGGCTGGCAGGGAGAGTGAGTGTGCTTGTCCTGAGCTGTGGGTGGCAGAGGTGACTGGCACAAGGAGGGAAACTGAGGCTGGCCAGGAGGATCATGCAGTCACTGCAGGCAGAGCCAGGGAGACCTGAACAGGTCCAGGGAAGAGCCAGTTCTGGGGGCCAGTGGAAGCGGAGGCTCAGTGACAGAATGACAGTGGGGTATCAGGCAATGAGAGAGACACTGTAGCAAGATGCAAGCGACCCAGGTAGAGGGATAGATCCTCCCCTGAACAGACGAAGAGGCCACTGACAGGGGGTGTGTAGATATTGGAGGCACACTGTCATAGCAAAGAGCAAACAGAGAGAGAGCCAGGTCTTTTATTTGTGTATCTGTTTCAAAATGGGATTTGGGGTAGTTCGTACTAGTATCAGAGCTTTGATTGTTACAACAGCTTCCTGCCCCTGCTTCTAGTTCTAATGGGTCAGGGCTCAGTCCCAGTGGAGCAAATCTCTAATCAGCAGGTAGAAATGGGCCTCTTTGAAGGTATCTGGCAAAGGTGGGAATCCAGGACTGGGGTCCCCACTGTGACAGCTTTCTTGGTGAATTGAGAGCCAGGATGTGCAAATGGCCAGAGACCAGGGGAGGAAGCATAAGGAAGCAAGGTGAG